AATGCAGGAAAATTGCAAAAATACCGCACTGAGTAATGCCACTGTGGGTTTAAGTGATTGGCCTATTGAAAATGCTAACAAATACTGTCAAGAGGCTATATGTCTCATGGAAATGGGAATTTAAATGACTTTATCCAGTTATGCAGGGACATTGATGGCACTCACCAGATGGGTCAGGTAACTGTTTCTGCCCTTAGGGAGGGTCAAGGTGGAGCTAGGTCGAGGACTTGTTTTCAATGCTAATGGTCAGGATGAGTTGAAAGGAATTGCCCTGTGGGTAAAGGGATAAGGGCCGTTAATCAGCCCAGGGGAAAAGCCAGGTGTGGTGGCAGACACCTTTAATCCCAGTAACTGGAGGCAGAGACAGGTGGAACTCTGTGAGTTCAAGACCAGCCTGGTCTACAGAGTGAGTTCCAAAAACAGCTAAAGGCAGGACGCTAGTGCCATCCACTTCTCCCTGGAATACTCCTATCTTTGTTATTAAGAAAAAGTCTGGTAAATAGAGGTTGCTGTAAGATCTTAGAGCAGTAAATGATTGTATGGACATTTTACAGGGGAATCCAGATCCAACCTCTTTTCATGAGTTGACACCTCAGGCAAGGCAATGTATTACTTTAATTGAAGAAAAGCTTGCCTCTGCTCATATTCATTATATTGACTATAGTCAGCCGCTGCTGTTAATTTTTCCCCCTCAGCATAATCCTACTGTAGTTTTTTGGCAGCACAGACCCATCCTATAGGTACATGAACATGTGCAACCTGTAATAAATTTAGTTTACAAATCTTTGGACTGTTACCTGATAAGGTTATTACACCATATACCCAGGCAAAAATAACTTGGCTGCAAAATTTTACTGAAGATTGGACCTTGTTTTTATGCACTAATCCCTGCAGGTCTGACAATCATCATCCTTCTGATAAGTTGGCCACCTTTCCAAAAATCATCTGGTATGCTTCCCTAAAGTTATTTCTTTGCAGCCTCTGGCAGGGGCACGGAATGTGTTTACCAATGGGTTTTCCACCGGGAGAGCTGTGGTAGCCTCCCCTCCTGATTTTGATATTCAGCCTGCTAATGCTAAATCTGCTCAGGTGGCTGAATTGACCGCTGTACAAATGGCCATAGAGAAATATGCTGATATTCCATTTAACCTTTTTACTGACAGTCAGTATATAAGCAAAATTCTTGCACCTTTGCAAACTGCAGCTTATATTGCCTCTGTATCTCGAGTCCAGATGCAGTTATTGGCTAATCAAACTTTGCTTTGGGCCTGATCTGTTCCCATTTTACATAGGGCATTTGCGTGATCATACTGACCTGCCTGGTCCCTTGAGCAAGGGGAATGCATTGGCTGATCAGCTTACCCGCTTCACACAGAACTGTGTCCTCTGCCCAAGTGAGCATACCTCGTGATAGCTTTGAAGTCTGAGGGATACTGTTGTCAAGTATTAAAGAGACAGCAAAGATCCAAGAAATGTGTTCAAAGTCCCAAGTGTGCAAAGCCCCTTCCTGGACTTTGGGTGCGACACACTTGAACTAGCTATCCAAGAGCACTTTCAGAGAAGTGGAGAGTCTCATCAAGGGAACTAAGGGGTAAGACTCTGACTCCTGTTAGGTTAGTCTGTCTTCTTGACACAAAGGACAGAGCTCTCCTCAAAGGTACCCAAGTGACCACATCCTGGGAACCAAAATTCAGATTGTCCTTGATGACAAACTCTACCTTGGGAATGTGGGGGCCCAAAGAGGCCAAAGGTCAGAGAGTTTGGGACTTGTTTCTAGTTCATTCAAGGTTATTGTGCTTCTAACTCAAAGAGTTCCTCTCTCTCTCTCTCTCTCTCTCTCTCTCTCTCTCTCTCTCTCTGTCTCTCTCGTCAACAGGTACGACTAGTTGCCAGACCACGTGCTCCTGAAACAGGGAAGTAGTTGGTTCCTACCTAAAACAAAAGTTTAAAGATCCAACTAGTTCCCTTTATGGAAATAATTTGGGATTCCACCCCGGGAGTGGTTTGCCTACGGAGTGTTTAGTCCAGGGCGTGAGTGATAAATGTACCCCAGACTTTCAATTTGTATTTTAATGCGGTCCTTTTGTTCTGCTCTTACCCTTTGAAGTCAGGACTTTATTAAGCTATTGGAAGATAAAACACGAGAGAATTTTCAGTACTCACTGAAAAATTCCCTCCTGATACTATCCTATATGTTTCTGCATTTTATTATTTTCATTCACATCTTCGCATTCTTTACTATATTTCTAGATTCCCATGCCTCCACTCTGGAAGAGAATATTTTTGTCGAGGCTGCCACACACACACACACACACACACACACACACACACACGGAAATAGCTACAGGGTATCTGTATAGTCACAGAGCCGAAGGGCGTCACAAATCGGTGCATTTATCAAAGACATCGGTTCCCATGTTGGGGAGGTGTTACGAGCTGGGGGACTTCAGCTCCAGGTTCTTTTCGAGTAATATCTATGAGGACTCTGTGCCCTTCTCCCCAGAGAGTGATGAGTAACCAGACCAAGCAAGAGAATTGTTTTTATGATGATTCTTTACTAGCAACTTTAATATCCAGTGCATCAATGGGGGTTACAATCTCAGTAGGCATATGGGATTGATAATGGGCAACACACAGGCAATTTAATATCACAATTATCAATCCCACTAAACCTAATACATAAAACCAATTCATAACCTTAATCTAACTTATCACTTATTCATAAAACACTTCTTAACCTTAATACAACTTAGCCATTACTTATCTATAACCTTAATGCAACTTATCCATTAATTATCTATAAAACACTCCTTGACCTTAACTTATCCATTATTTCCTAATCTGATCAATTATCCATAAAATATCTCTTAACAGTTCACACATTAACATGTGTATTAACACATCCATGCTCTTCTCTTAACCTCTCGTACACACATGAAATAGCATCATACGACCTGATATTCCCTGGCTTAAAAAGGGCTTTTTGAATTTCTTTAGGCTGGGCTCTTGTCCGCACTGGGGGCTGGGTAGCGAAGATCGACTCTTGACCCTGTAGTCTGCACTCGGGAGATAAGGTCCTGATGTTCCAGGCTGGTATCTGGTAGTGCCTTGGACTCGGCTTTTGGGTGACCGAGTCTCGGGAGACAAGGCTTTTAGTTCTCCACTCTCGAAGATGAAGCTTTGCTCTCGGGGTGGCAAAGCGTTCTGTCTGCTTAAAAGACGAAGCTTTGCTTTCGGGATGGCAAAGCATTCTGAAAGGCAGAGTATCTAGTCTGTTCTCGGGAGACAGACCTTCAATGTCCACTCTCATGGAATGAGGATTTGCTTTCGGGATGCAAGGTGTTAAATGTCTGTTTTCGGGAGACAAAGCTCTGTGCTCGGGAGACAGAGCATTAAATGTTTAGGCAAGGCATTCAGTATTGCTGCTTTTCGGGAGGCAGGCTAGGAGGATCTCTCTTTCCACGGAGGCCTGGTGCCAGAGCCATTGTGAGAAGTGAGATAACTGCCCTGCTTCAGCCACCTCTTTTATGCCAGTTCAAAATTGCCCCTCGTTTGATCCTTCCGATAACCAGGTGTCCTAGGTTATCAGTATCGACTGGCCACAGAAGGGTGGGGGAACCTCTTGTGTGGCAAGATTATTTCGTTACCACGGTTGCTGGGTGCAGCCCCCCACATCTGGCAGGGCCAGATGGGTGTGGCAGCCTTCAAACGGGCAAATGCTCTCCCAATATTTCACCTTAGTAATTTTCCATATCCCACACAAGAAGAAATGCTTTTACATTACACCAAGTTACATTCATTCTTATTCTATAAATTTCCTGCTCTATCTACACTACAGATTCCCCTTTATTTATTCATTCAGAGGAATCTGCTTCCATGCTCATTACAGGAGGTGAGTTAACGCAAACCAAGGAAATCTCCGCCAAGGGTTTCAGATGCTATCTGATGGTATACAAGTTAGCGATCGGCTAAATTTTTAAATTCCAGGTGGGTGGGGTGATGCACACTTTTAGTCAAAGTACCTGGGAGGCAGAGACAGGCAGATTTCTTTGGGTTCAAATTCAGAAGTTCTAGGCAACAGGACTACATGGAGAGATCTTGTCTCAAGTTAATTAATTAATTAAAAATAAATTTTCTTACCTGATAGTCAGGAATATTAGGTCAGATACAGAGGCTGGAGATAAATGACTACTAAAGGAATTCTCCAAGTCAATTTTTAAAGATACATTTCTATTATCTTTTTAGTTTATGTATGTGTGTGTATGTTCAGGTGCTTATATAGGCCAACAGTATCAGATCCTCTGGAGCTGGAGTTAAAGGCACTTGCAAGCTGCCTATGTGGGTGCTGGGAATTGAACTCAGTTCCTCTGGCAGAACAGCATGAACCACCGAGCCATCTCTCCAGCCCGTCTCCAAGATAACTTTGGCTGAGAATCCTCAATGCCCAGTCTCCACAACCAGAAAGTTCTAAATCAGTCTGTAGAATCTGCACACATGTGGCTTTTTCAGAGGACCTCAAACACTCTTCCTTTTCTGTCGAGAAAACGTCCTTCTAATATCTGGAGGACCCGTTACATAACAAAGCGACTCTTACTGTTTTAAACCAGAGCTGGCAAGAGAGTATTTACAGATCTCTAGCCTAGATCTGTCTGGACAGTTTGTTCCTCCAAACATGCGCTCGGTCCGTCCTATGTTGGAGTACCTGCTTTTCCCCGAAGGTAGTCTTCTGCGGTTAAAGGTTACAATCTCAGCACGAGATACTACTTTGTGGGCTCTTCTACCCCAGAAAGAGACTTAGGAAAGAAAGTACCGCAGGCGACAACCACCGGAGGCAGGGAAGGCTACCGCCTCACGACTGATTGGTTTGCGTGACTGCAAGAGCAGCAAAGCCTTCGGCTGGTCTCCGCGTGTGATTGGCTGCTGAAGCCCCACCCCCTCTCCAATTGGACAGAGTTGTGAGACTAGCCCCACCCCTTCTCCAATTGGACAGAGTTGTGAGACTAGATTGGTGGAGCTAATGCAGCCGAAGCTCCCGGTGCAAGGCAGAGATGGCGACTGCAATCAGGCTGCTGGGGCGACGGGTGTCCAGTTGGAGACTGCGGCCATCGCCCCTCGCTGTCCCGCAGCGGGCTCACTCGATGCTGCCTGTGGACGATGCTATCAACGGGTTAAACGAGGAACAGAAGCAGGTAGGGAGGCCGGCCCGAAGGCCTCGTGCCCGTGTCCCATCCCACAAGTAACTTGTGCCTGCCGGGCCTTGGAAGCGTCACTAGTAAGCCAGGGAAAGGGACTGTTCCCTTCCTCCTCTAGCTAATGCCCAAGCCTCTGACTCATCGTTATCTCTAGTGAGGAAGTATTTGCAACAGACAACAACGCAGAGCTGCTAGAAGGAAACAGAAGAGTAAAAGAACCAAAGCTCCCGGGAGACTGGTGGTATTTGGGTGGGAGGATTGGTTGGCCCTGCCCCTAGTGGCAATCAGTCGTCGACTCAGACTCCAGCCAATACTCTGCGTGTATCGGTCCCCTTCCCTCTAGACTCTGCCAGGCTGGCCTTGAACTCTAGTGTGTCTGATTGCCTCCGCCTCCAGAGTGAGGGGTTTAAAGACGTGGGCCATCACACCAGGCTTTACGTTGTGGTTCTCAGTTGAAGGTTGAGATTATGGTTGATCCATAACCAACAAGGCATTGGGTTGTTTTTTTTTCCCCCCAGTGGGAGACTTAAGGAATTCTGAAATGCACCCTTTGTTTGCTTTCTTCCCTTCCTCAAGGCCTAGAGCACAAGGCTGAAGAAGACCTTGAAGGATGTGTTCACAGATTGCCTGTCCACCCTTATTGCTGGATTTAAGGCTCTAAATAAAACCCTAGTAAAATACTTCCTGGGATGGCTCGGGTCCCAGCAATGTATGTATTAAGCAATTGCTATAGATTGCCTAAGAAAAGTCCTATGGAGTGATTGTTTAGCACACAATTGTTTCTTGAGTCAGATGTGTACAAGTCAGAGTGTTGCTATGAATGTCAGCCTAGGTGGAGGAAGAGTCTGGAAACCCCAGGCCAGAAGACTGTCATAACCTGGATACTAAGGTCCCAGCTTGTCGTTCCACTAGCCTGTCTTCATGTTGCCTGGTTCCCAACCTGTTGTGTTCTCTGTGTCCTAGAGAACAATGGTTGCATTCAGATCTTTGGAGCAAACATACTTTGAGGATGTAACTTTCCCACAGTCCTGTTTTATTGTTATTTTATTGATTGATTTATTTACATGCCAATCCCAGTTCTCCCTCCCTCCTCTTCTCCCTCTCCCCCCCCCCCAGAGAGGGTAAGACTTCCCCTGAGAAGTCAACTAAGTTCGTCCCATCACCTCCTTGAGACGGGACCAAGGCCCTTTCTCCTCTCCCTCCTCACCCCCGTGCCGAGGCTGAGCAAGACATCTCTCCATAGAGAATGGGTCCACAAAGCCAATCCTGGTGCCACTGCCAGTGTCCCCACACACTGTCCAAGCCACACCATTGTCAGCTGCTTTCAGGGGGCCTAGTTTGGTCCTATGCAGGTGCCCCAATTGTCAGTCCGGAATCAGTGTCCTCCCACTAGCTCGGGCCAGCTGAACCTGTGGGTTTCCCTACCACAGTCGTGTTCCTAAGCATCTGGAACGTTGATGTTCATATGGAATATCATTTTTGTCTCTATACCATCCTACAGCAATAAAGGAATTGGGTCTTTGCTGGTGAACTCATTTACCTTTTTAACTAATTCGTATATTTACTTACTCTATGTGTACAAGTGTTTCTGCCAGAATGTATGTATGTGTCCCACACGCCCACCTGGTGCTAGCAGAGGTTAGAAGATGGTATCCTATCCCCTGGAATTGGAGTGCTTGGAATCGAACCTAGGTCATCTGCAAAGGCGGGAAGTCTTTGATAGGATTACCATTGTTGCAATAAAACACCATTACCAAAAGCAACTTAGAAAGGAAAGGGTTTATTTTATTTGACTTACACTTCTACATCTTAGTCCATCCTTGAAGGAAGTCAGGACAGCAATTCAAACAGGGCAGGAACTGAGAGGGAGGAACTGATGTGGAGGCCATGGAGGGGTGCTGCTTACTGACTTGCTCCTCATGGCTTGCTCGGCCGGCCTGCTTTCTTATAGACCCCAGAACCAACTGCCCAAGGATGGCCACACTGTGATTTCCCCCATTTTGCATATTTATTATTTATTGTGCATATTTATTATGAATACAGTGTTCTGTCTGCATGTATGCCTGCTGGCCAGAAGAGGATGCGCTATCTCATTACAGATGGCTGTGAGCCACTATGTGGTTGCTGGGAATTGAACTCAGGACCTTTAGAAGGGCAGGCAGTGCTCTTAACCTCTGAGCCATCTCTTCAGCCCATCTACAGCCAATCTTATGGAGGCATTTCCTCAAGTAAGGCTCCCTCCTCTCTGATGACCCTAGCTTGTGTCAAAATGATGTAACAGTAGCCAGCACAAGTGACCTGTGGTCAGTTTGACACAAACACATCCCTGGGTGACTCTTACACATGATCATGTTCAGCTGCCAGCACAAGGTACAACCTTGGTCGCCTCTGCACCTCAGTGTCTGTGTGCTGCCTCTGAGGAAACACCAGATTCCACCTCCGTGATGCTGGGCTCTTCTCACACAACACTAGTTCTTCAGCTCCAGCATCGATTGTCCTAGCAAAGCAAAGACTTCACTGTAGTGGTGCTGACAGCTTGTTAATCCCAGCCGACTCTTCAGCCCCAGCTCACCAGAACCACAGATTCTTAACCCGAAATATGCAACGGCCCCAAAAAAGTCTTTAGTGACTCTCAAACTTCCCAGTGGAACTTCACAAGCCAGGCCTCCATCCTCATCCTCGGCATTTCTCTCAACTCTCTAATCTCCCAGACACCTACAACAGTTCACCCAGCTTTGTACATTCCGTGACTCTTCTAGCTCAAGGTCACAAAGACCTCCCATGATCCTCCCCAAAACGACGTAGTCAGGTCTGCCACAGACACTGTCCTGATACCAACGTCTGTCCTAGTTAGGGTTACCATTGCTTCAATAAAACACCGTGACCGAAAGCAGCACGGGGAGGAAAGGGTTGATCTGTCTTCCACTTTCACACCTTAGTCCCACTGAGGCAGAAGCCCTGGGGGGCAGGGCGGTGCGGCTAACTGGCTTGCTCCTGGCTTGCTCAGCCTTTCCCCATAGAGCCCAGACCCACCCCTCACCCTGGGGTGGCTCCACCCCCAATAGACTTGATCCTTCCCCCCCCCCCCATTGATCACTAATTAAGAAAATGCCCTACAAGCTTGTCTACTGCTGGATGTGTGGAGGCTTTTTCTCAGTGGAAGCGCCCTCCTTTCCAATGACCCTAGCTTGTATCAAGTTGATTTTTTAAAAAAGAAAAAAATACAACTAGCCAGCACATGCTCTTAACCACTGACCGGTTGTCTAGCCCCACACTTGCCTTTCTAAATCAGTGTTTTTGCGGTGCACTGGCCTGACTCTAAGTACTATAAAGAGGATTGCCTTTGTAGTTGGTATTTTATACTGTGCCTTGTTTTGAGACAGGATGTTGCTAAGTGGCCAAGCTGGCTTGAAGATTTGAGTATCTTCCTGCCCAGCTTCCTGAGTGCTAGGATTATAGATAGGCATGCGCTCCCCAAAAACATACACCATTTGTGTGTATTTGTTGTACGTAGCGTTAGGTTGCATAAGGACTTTTCCATGGACTTTGAACATATTCTATCCTATAATTCTCTCTCTCTCTCTCTCTCTCTCTCTCTCTCCTCTCTCTCTCTGACAGTGTCTCCATTATATAGACCAATCTAGCTGGACTCAGAGATCCGCCTACTTCCATGCCGCTATAACAAACTTTTTTTTTTGAAGATTTATTTTGAGCTGTATTATTATTGTGTGTATATGTGGCGGTAATAGGACAGCTTTTTAGAGCATGTTCTCTCCTTCCGCCTCTCCACGGGTTCAGGGGGCACTAAACGCAGGCCTTCAGGCTCACAAGGTGCACATTTAACCTGCTGAGCCATCTCTCCAGCCCGCGATGTTCTTCTATAGTAGTTTGGCAAGGCCTGGATGACATGGCAAACTCTGGCTTCAGATGGGAAGAAGTTAAATATTAAGTAAGTTTTGCTCTTGTAGCCACATGAAAGGTGGAGGCGGGGCAGAGAAATGAAGATTGTGGTTACAAGCAGAGCTGAACCAGAGCTCTAGCTGGGGGCAGGAGGCTGTGTCACTTAGAGGCTGCCTGAAGTGCTTGGGTCTGTGATTCTCCCATAGCCCTAGTCTCATTGCATCAAAGTAGGCCAGCAAGATGGCCCAGTGGTCAAGGGCGCTTGCCACTAAATCTGCTGACCTGAGTTTGAGTCTCAGGACCCACGTGGTAGCAAGAAAGAACTGACCCCAAAAGTCGTCCCCTGATCCAGACATGCGCCGTGGTACTCCGCCATACACACACAAAACAAATAAATATGATTTTAAAAACGACGAACAGAAGCAGCCCCTGGCTGTATGATTGGCAGAGAGCCGCTTTGGAGACCTCGGGCTTCACACCTGGGTCTCTGGTGCTCAGGGCTAGGGCTCTAGTTTTCCCAGCGGGCAGGCAGTGTCTCATCTCATTGAGTAATCTCGTTCAGCCACAGTCTCAAGGATGGTGGAGAGACTGGCAGGTGTCAGGACAGCGTGGGAGTGTCTGGAGTGCCGGGAATGGGTAGTGGGAAGGTACGGGGAAGGCTGGATGGCCAGTGGAGGACAGGATGTACGGACTGGCTTAGAGGCCTGTGTGTTACTCTGAGTAGTACAGCAGGAAGGCACGGAATAATTTCACGTAGGGAAGCAGCATCTTGAAGATCATCTTTAATGCTCGAGGGACTGGGGTACATGAGTTCAAGGCCAACTTGGGCAAAATTCAATCTTAAAATTAATAAAATGGCAATATCTTAATCATTTCCAAGATGTCTAAACCAAGAATCTTTTTTGGTTTTTCAAGACGATCCCTCTGTGTAGCTCCTGCTGTCCTAGGAATCACTCTGTAGTCCAGGCTGACCTTGAACTCACAGAGAATTCACTTGCCTCTGCCTCTCAAGTGCTGAGATTAGAGGTGTGAGCCACCACCACCCAGCTACCAAGAACGTTAATAAAGAGGGGGAATATTACTGTCCTATTTACTATTGTTATGGTGAACACCATGACCAAAAAGCAAATTGGGGAGGAAAAGGTTTATTTGGCTTACACTTCCACGTTGAAGGAAGTCAGGGCAGGAACTTGAACAAAACTGGAACCTGGTGGCAGGGGCTTACATGGGGTGCTGCTTACTGGCTTGCTCAGCCTGCTAACTTACAGAACCCAGTACCACCCCCTCCAGGAGTGACCATACCCACAATAGACTGTGCCCTCCCGCATTGATCACTAATTAAGAAAATGCCCAAGCCGGGCAGTGATGGCACACACCTTTAATCCCAGCACTCGGGAGGCAGAGATAGGTAGATCTCTGAGTTTGAGGCCAGCCTGATCTACAGAGCGAGTTCCAAAAAAAAGCTCCAAAGCTACACAGAGGAACCTTGTTTTGAAAAAAAAAAAGAAAAGAAAAAAAGAAAATGCAAAATGCTCTATAAGCTTGTCTACAGTGGGATCTGATAGAGGCGTCTCTCAGTTAAAGCTCCCTCCTTTCTTTTTTTTTTTCTTTTTGTTTTGTTTTGTTTTTTCAAGACAGAGTTTCTCTGTAGCTTTGGTGCTTGGCCTGGAACTAACTCTTGTAGACCAGGCTGGCCTCAAACTCACAGAGATCCGCCTGCCTCTGCATCCCAAGTGCTGGGATTAAATGTGTGCGCCACCACTGCCCAGCGAAGCTCCCTCCTTTCTGATGCTTCTGAAGAAGCATAATTCAGTGGGACCCCTAAGCCTTGACCTGACACTTCATGGTGAGGGTGCCTGTGGCCTTCAGCCACAGGGACATTACTCTCAGTGGCAATCACGTCTTGATTTCAATAGCCTCTGTCTAACTTTCTTCTCTAGCTTCGTCAGACTATATCTAAGTTCGTGCATGAGAACCTGGCCCCCAAAGCCCAAGAGATTGATCAGAGCAACGAGTTCAAGAACCTGAGAGTGAGTTCAAGGCTGAGGGTGGGAGTGGCAGCTTCTGGAGCAGTGCTGTGTTGCACTGGTGCCCAGAAAGGTGCACCCCATCTCCTGCTGACAGGGGCCTGCCTAAGTGTATAGTTCCTTTCTTTGAATGACTTGATCTTGTTGTCTGGGCCACCTATGGCTAACTGCCACCTTGAAACTCGCCCACTCTGTTCTCTTGATAGGAGTTCTGGAAGCAGCTGGGGAGCCTGGGAGTACTGGGCATCACAGCCCCTGGTGAGTATGGCTTCTCTTCCTACAGAGACTCTCTCTTTTGCTAAAACAGGCGCAAAGGCAAGTGGGTATGGTGGCACATTCCTGTACTCTCAACATTCAGGGGCCTGAAACAGAAGGGCAGTTCTGAGTTCAAGGTCAGCCTGTGCTATGCAGTAAGTTCCTGACCAGCCTAGGCTACAGACTGAGACCCTGATTCAGAAAAACAAAAACAGGGGGCTGGAAAGAAGGCTCAAGCTAAGAGTATTTGCTATGTAAACATGAGGATCAGAGCTCAGAGCACAGCACTCTGTAAAAGCCCGGCCTGTCCCACCATTGCCTGGAATCCCAGAGAAGGCTTGCTGGGGCTTGTTTGGGCACACATGCTGCTATCCTAGCCAAAAAACATGAGTTATAGGTTCAGTGAGAGATCCTACCTCAAAAGGAACAACATAAGCCAGGCATGATTGTTGACAGAGGTTTCTGTCCCACCCAGTCCCGCAGGCGTTCAGTCCCAAAGAAACACACAGAGGCTTACATTAATTATAAACTGGTTGAGCTATTAGCCAGGATTCTTATTAACTCTTTTTTTTTTTTCTTTAATTTGGTTTTTCAAGACAGGGTTTCTCTGTAGCTTTGGGGCCTGTCCTGGAACTAGCTCTGTAGACCAGGCTGGCTTTGAACTCACAGAGATCTGCCTGTCTCTGCCTCCCAGGTGCTGGGATTAAAGGTATGTGCCACCAACACTCGGCTCTTATTAACTCTTATAACTTATATTAACATAATTCTTGTCTGTGTCAGCCATGTGGCTTGGTACCATTTATCAGCGAGGCATTCTCATCTTGCTTCCTTTGTGTCTGGGTGACGACTGCAGACTGAGACTTTCCTCTTCCCAGAATTCTCCTGTTCTGGTCGCTTCGCCTGTACTTCCTGCCTGACTACTGGCCAATCAGCGTTTTATTAAAGCAATACAAGTGACAAATCTTTATAAGTTATAAGACCATTGTCCCACAGCACATGGTGGCACACGCCTTTAATCCCACCAGAGGCAGGCAGATCTCTGAATTCGAGGCCAGCCCGATCTACAGAGCAAGTTCCAGGACAGCCAGGGCTACACAGAGAAAAAAAGAAAAAGAAAAAAGGGGACAATGTAGAGAGTGATAGAAGAGGATGCCTGATATCTTCCTCTGGCCTCCCGCGTGTCCACAAGAGTGTATTGCACTCACATACACATGTGCACATGCATCATACATACGTCCATATACATAGGCCCACTCATACGCACACGCGGAAATCAACAACCAAACAGAAAGAGAAGGGAGAGATCGTTCCCAAAGGACTTCCTCATCCTTGAACCTGAAGCAGTGCCCATCGACATCATCCTTAGGGATGGCAAAAAGGCAGGATCTCTCAGACTCTTGACCCGCTATTTTAATTCCATGCTGAAGATTTAATGAGAGCCTTTCATCCTATGGAATCTGCATGCTCTACAGATGCCTCCAGGTGATTTGGGGGAGTGTAGAATAACTGTCCTAGTGCATCGGTTCCCTCGGGGACCCCTGAGCTCTGTCTCACTAATGGCCTGTACGTGCGAATCTTTAGGAAAAGTACTCTGCTCACGGCCTGTCCGCCAAGCTCATTTGGGGTCAGAAATGGGACTAAGAGGGATGTCTGGGTCCTCAGGTAAGGTGGTCCCATGATAATCTTGAGTTTTAGTAGGCTCTTGGGCGTGCCCAATATCCCCTGTGTGTGTTACAACTTGTTTGGGGTAAAAAGGCAGGACGTTGGTATATTATGGTTCTGTGTTGCCTTCCAGAAAAAGACTCTGCCTGGGTTGCCATGACAGTAAATGCCTGAGCTGTTGGCCTCCTCATTCAGCCACGCTCCTGGCCATGAGGGAATACAAAAGAACTGGTTCTCTCTCTCTTTCTCTCTCTCTCTGTCTCTCGTTTGTTTGTTTGGTTTGGTTTTTTTTTGGGGGGGGGGGTTGTTTGTTTTGTTTTTGTTTTAATCAAAACAGGGTTTCTCATGTAGCCCCAGCTGTCCTGGAACTGTCTCTGCAGACCAGGCTGAACTCGAACTCAGAGATCCACTGGCCTTTGCCTCCTGGGTGCTGGGATTGGAGGTGTGAGCTACCACTGCCCAGCAGAGCAACTTTCTAATCCCATACTTGGAAGGCTAAGGCAGGAAGACTGGAAGTCCAGAGCCAACCTGGGCTACAGAGCTAAGATCCTCACTCGAAAAGGGGTTGTGGGGTGTAGCTGGAGTAATGGCTCCATGGTTTGAAGAGCACTGGTTGCTCTTGCAAAGGACCGGCCTCTGGTTCCCAGCATCCAAATGGTGCCCCACATCCATCATTGACTCTGGTTGCAGGAGCTCTTCTGTCAACCAAGGACACCAGGCATCATATGACACACGTACATACAGACAGACAAACACCCGTGTGCATAAAATAAATTAATGTAAAAATGTTTAAGGGGAATAAAGCTAATATTTGTACAAATATTTGTATAAATACTACTATTTGTACAAAGCATGCACTATTTACATAATGAGTAGTAGAGGATTTAGAGGTATGCATAAATTATATTGCCGTTTTCTTTATGTAAGAGATGTGACTGGATTTGGTATCAGAGACAAGTGTTGGTTTGACCAGTGTCTGTATATTTCACCATATATCCTCCTGGGGTTTGAGTTGGCCCTGGCAACTTACTCTGGTGATACAATGAAACTGTTTCATTTAAACCATGTCAATGTGAGCAAGTTTCACATTGACATAGGGAAGGGCCTTTTGGGAACCCCCTAGGGAGATTCTCTTTGTGCTTTGAGGGTTTATGATCCAGCCCAACATAACATGCTTCTGAATCAGAATGTATTTAATAAAACAAAGAAGGAATTTAAAATCAAGGGCCTGAAGCCAGGCTGTGTGATTAAACTCCTGTAACCCCAGCACTTGAGAGACAGAGGTAGGAAGGTTGGAGGTTCAAGGCCACCCTGAGGTATATGAGACCCTGAGGAAGAAGCTGAGGATACAGCTCAGTTGCAAGAATGCCTGTCCCCAACATGACAGAAACGAATGGTGCCTATAATCCCAAAACTCAGAGGTAAGGCAGGAAGAGCAAGAAGAGCAGGAATTTGAGAAGAAAGGTGGAAGGAAGAAAAGGAAAGAAATGAAGCAGAAGAAACCTGGGGCAGGGGAGTAGCTTATTGGCAAGAGTGTGTATGCTTTGCATGAAGTCCTAAGTTTGACCCCCAGCACCACACTTAAAAATTTAGAAATCAAGCCAGGTGGTGGTGGCCCATGCCTTTAATCCCAACACTCTGGAGGCAGAGGGATGGATGGATCTCTATGAGTTTGAGGCCAGCCTGGTCTACAGAGCGAGTCCCAGGACAGCTAGGACTGGGACACAGAGAAACCCTGTCTCAGAAAACAAAAACAAGAACTCAGATAAAGTCCTTTCAAGTGGGAACTTCGAAAAGATAGCCAGGGCTATTGTTTGTGCTGGGGATTGAACCTAAGGCCTTGCACATGCCAGACATGAACCCTAACATTGAGCTATTTCTTCACCTCTTTTCCTATTGTTTTATCTTGAGTCTGGGTCTCACCAAGTTGCCCTAGCTGGCCTTGAACTCCCTCCGTAGCCAGGTTAAGACTTGAATGTGTTCTTCCTGGCTCTCAGGTGGCTGAGACATAGGCCTACACCAGCAGGCCCCAGCTGAAGGATGAGTTTTGAAGGCCAGACAGGAGTTCTGTTTCCTATTTTACTTCCCGGAGTTGTGGTTGGCAGCTTCACTCTCCTGAGCGTTTTGCGTCCTGAGAGCTCAGACGAGCGTGTTTATTGGACCAAGGGACCTAAACACTTGGATTTTTGGGAAACAGCTTACAAGGAATACGTGCTTCCTTTCTCTTTTCCATTTTCTGTTCTTCTCCTTTCCCTCCTAATTTTTTGAGATGGGGCCTCAGATAGCCCAGGCCAGCATTGAGTTTGCTACGAAGCCAAAGACAGCATTGAACTCTTGATCTCCCCACCTCCACCTTCCCAGTCTGGGGTTACAGGTGTCTGCTACTGTGCCCGTTCTGAAAACCTCTTTAAAAAAAAAATTTTTTTTTATATATATCTCTGTGTGTATATGCGCACCTGTTGCGTAGGCTACATATATGTATCAGCCTCACTTTGTTCCCAAAGCTATGCTTTAAACTCTCACCTCTGGGCCAGAGAGATGGCTCGGTGGTTAAGAGCATCCCCTATCTTCCAGATACCAGGTTCAGCCCTTGGTATCCACACGGTGTGGAGCACAGCTACCTATAACTCTAGCTCCACGGCAGTGGTTCTCAACCTTCCTAATGCTGCGACCCTTTAGTATAGTACCTCATGTGGTAACCCTCAACTATAAAGTTATTGCTACTTCATAACTAATTTTGCCACTGTTGCGAATAGTGATGTCAATATTTTTGGAGGTTTCTCAAAGGGATTGAGAGTCACCGCTCTAGGGGCTCTCCTGGTATTGGGGGCACCCGTACATGTGTGGCATTAAACACATGGTAGGTAAGGAAAAACACTAATAAATCTTTTTTAAAATCTCACCTTCTTGAGGTCCCTGCACATACCCAGTCTGTAACTGGTTTTGGTGCTCTGAGCATGGCCTCCTTCCCGCCCACCCCCTTCGTGTTTCTTTGCCTTCTTTCTTCCTGCATCCATCTGCTTCCGCCTTCTATAACTTCTGGAGGAGTGGGTGCTCAGGTTTTTGCTTGTCCTTACTGAAGATGTCTGGGATAAAGCCAGAGTCAGCCATGATAGTCTCTGAAGTGCAGTTCCGCACCAGCGTCAAACAGAACAAGGTGTATGTCCTTCTGAGCAGAGCCCCTGGTAACAGCCTGCCAGCCTCGCTAGGGGAACCTGGAATAGCTACTAGGGTGTTTCTTTTCTGCCAATTAATAAGATTCCTGCAGGGCGGTAGAGGCTCACACCTTTAATCCCAGCACTAGGGAGGCAGAGGCAGGTGGATCTCTGTGAGTTGGAGGCCAGTCTGGTCTATAGAGTGAGTTCCAGGACTGGCTCCATAGCTACTGGGAAACTCTGTATCTCAAAACCAAACAATTTTTAACATAAAAGACTCCTATCAGTGTTCCAGTGTAACCTGGTTGCCTTTCTGCTTCCCACACTGCCCCACTCCCAGTTCAGTATGGCGGCTCTGGCCTGGGTTACCTAGAACATGTGTTGGTGATGGAAGAGATATCCCGAGCTTCTGGAGCAATAGGGCTCAGCTACGGTGCCCACTCCAACCTCTGCGTCAACCAGATTGTTCGCAATGGGAATGAGGCGCAGAAAGAGAAATACCTTCCCAAGGTGAGGAGACGGGAATGAAGGAATCCGCACGGACTCGGCACTACCACTGTATGACATGCCCTCCCCTTGGTGGGGACAAGCAGATTCTCATTTTCTTCTTGTTCCCACAAACTAAACAGAATTAGGAGAGTGACTGAGATTGATTTGAAATACTTAAATCAAAAAATCTAACCGTGTGGTGGTGGCGCACACCTTTGATCCCAGCACTTAGGCAGCAGAGACCGGGGAATCTCTGAGTTCAAGGCCAGCTTGGTCTATAGAGCAAGGTCTAGGACGGCCAGAGCTACACAGAGAAACCCTGTCTCAAAAAAAAAAAAAAAAAAAAAAAAAAATGGGGGTGGGGCCTTCAGTCAGAGCTGTGGTGACGTGTGGAGTTTCAGCTGCTTGGGAGGCAGAAGAGGGAAGATCATGAGTCCCAGCTTGGGTGGTTTGGCAAGGCCATGTCTCAAGGCAAATAGGAGTGGGTAAAAGTGCCTGCCTGCCACCAAGCTTGATAACCTGACTTTGATACACATAGTGGAGAAAGCACCAACTTTCTTCCGCAAATTATCCTCTGATATGAGGACACACACACACACACACAGTGGCCTTTGTGCATACGTAAACACAGAGAGCAAATAAATAAAAATATAATTTTTAAAGGTCTAAAGACTGGGGGCTGAGGGGAGGGCTCAGTGGTAAATCCCGTGCTTAGCATGCCTGAGACCCTGGAGCCAATCCCCACTGCTGCCAAAAGTGGTGGATGTGGAAGCGGAAGAAAAAGAGGCCTTCCAGATAGTTACTCCACCTTGCTCTGCGGGGAGTTTGCAGGGTGGAATATGAGCAGGAAGAGCAGTCCTGGGAGCTGCTGCAGGGGGCTTCCAAGGTCTTAACAAGACGGGTCTTGGTTTTCCTTGTAGCTGATCAGCGGTGACTTCATCGGAGCCCTGGCCATGAGTGAACCCAATGCTGGCTCTGATGTCGTCTCCATGAAGCTTAAAGCGGAAAAGAAAGGTAAGGCCACTTGCCACAAGGCAGGTGGGGGTCTCTGCTGGGTTCCCAGTATGGCTTCTCAGCAAGGCGGCAGCAGTTACCAGACTGGTTGGCTGAAGCAGGACAGGAGACTTCAGCCCACAGCCAGTGGCCTGCTGTCCCTTAGGCGATCACTACGTTCTGAATGGCAACAAGTTCTGGATCACCAATGGCCCTGACGCCGATGTCCTCGTTGTCTACGCCAAGACAGATCTGTCTGCTGTACCAGCTTCTCGGGGCATCACAGCCTTCATTGTGGAGAAGGTGAGCATGGGATCAGAGAGACTTTCCAACCAATTGAGATTCAGTCAGTGTTCAGTGTTCTGTGCTCTGCTCTCAGGAGCGAGCCAGTAGCAGAAGCTGAGGAAGGTGGCCCAGAAGTCAAGTCTGGTGCTGATCCAGTTGCTCAGAAGTAGAGCATCTGCTTAGCACACAAGACCCTGGGTTCAATTTTCAACACTACAGAAAAAAAAAAAAAGAAAGAAAAAGAAAAAAGAGATCCAGAGAGGCTGGGTCAAGTCTGAAGGCAAAAAAGCTGTCTGTCTACAGAGTCAAGGAAGAAGAAAAAGAAGCTATGGGATTTTCTTACTGGGCTGAGTAGGAGCTGTGGGGGAGACTGAGGCATGGGTGGGAATGCAAATGCCGATTTGGACGCTGTCCCTCCAATAGTATGGACAAGGACAGGATACATCAGGAGTTAGATTAGAACTCAAGAGTTCCATTTTGGTTCTGCTTTAGTTTTAAACCAGGAGCTGGACAAGGTGATGTGTATTTGTAATATGAGCGGCGCTTGACAGGCAGAGGCAAGTCTGAGGTTAGCCTGATCCTTGTAATAAGGTCCAGGACTGTATAGCTTGACTGTCCCAAAAAAAATAAAAGCAGGAAACAGCAAAGTTTTCTCTATAGAGAAAAGAAAACCAGGGTCATCTTTTGTTGTTGCTTTATTGTTTTTTTTTAAGATGGAATCTCTTTGTGTAGCCCTGTCAAGCCTAGAACTCACTGTATAGAGCAAGCTTCCCTTGAACTCACAGAGATCCGTCTGCCCTAGCCTCCCAAGCACTGGGATTAAAGGCGTGCGCCCCAGCCTGGAAAAAGTTGGAAATATATAAGTTAAGGGAGCAGGTGTTGTCTTCACACCATCTGCCTACTGTTGGTGAAGAAAGAGGACAGGTGCCACTGAGGCTTGGGGACCTAGCTGCAGGGGAATGGTAGAAAGTAGTAACATGGTTAAGCTAAGCAAGAGATTGGGCAGGGCACCCTGTGAGGAGGAGGAGTCACTGGCTGAGATGGGAACTGGAAAGGCCTGGGGGTAACGAAACAGCGTGTGCCTTCACTCCCCTGTCACCTGATGACACGTGTGCATCCAAGTTACCCTGGTCAAAGCGTGCTCGTGGGACAGGTGGCTAAGGAAAAGGGGACAGAGGAGTTGGCATGGGCTCTGAGAGTGTCTTCAGAGTCGTGTCCCTGGAAGAGTGAGGAGAGCTGGGGACTTCATGTTTTGCTGAGGAAGAACTGCTCCCCTGAGAACTTAGGAGTAGCAGACTGGCGGCAGAGGTGTTGGGAAGAAAGTGGGTGGGGCTTGAAGACTGGAGTTTTGCATCCAGAGAGAGAACTTGGGAGTAAGATGTGGGCAGGTATCTGAATCGGTAGATAGAGTGAGTTTCCCCTTGACTAGGCCCCCTTGGGGCAAGTCTAACCAGGGCCTCCTTTGGTTTCCTGTGAAGGGTATGCCTGGTTTTAGTACCTCCAAGAAGCTCGACAAGCTGGGCATGAGGGGCTCCAACACCTGTGAGCTTGTTTTCGAAGACTGCAAAGTTCCTGGTAAGTGTCCCGATAATAAGGGAGGCTCCATCCTGGCTCCTCTGCAAGCTGGAGAAGCCCATCTCAGCATTACTGAGGTTCACCACCATTACGTGTTCCATGATATGCAGCTAGGCTGTGGGCTTACAGCTCCTGGACAGCTGTCTGCCCTGGCCACAGCCCCTGCTGCTGCTTGCTTGCCTGCCCAGATGAAGGCTGGTGAAAGGGAAGGCTTACCGTCTCCCGCTGACATCCTTCCATCACTCTGTGCAGCCAACCTGTGCTAGGCCGGCTTCTTGTCTCCTTTGTAAATAACCCAACAGAAATGTGTTAAAGGAGGAAGAAGTTCTTTTGGTTCATGGTTTCAGGTGTCAAGCCTATGATCTGTTGGCTCCATTGTTCCTGCAGTACTGTGAGCCAGAGCATAAAGGTAGAAGGGCCTGGGGAGAACGGCTTATCAGGATAAGTAGCAGAGATCAAAAAGAGGCCAGAGTCCCATTAGACTCTCAAAGGCACACACCCAGCGGCCCATTTTTCCTGGAGGCCTTGTGTGTGTTTCCATTGTCTCATTAATGCTGTCAAATTAGGAATCCGTCATCGGGTTAATCCATTGATTGGGCCAGCCTTCATGGTCCAGTCACGTCCCAAACCCCACCCCAGAACACTGCTGCACAGAGAACCCCGACTTCAGCGCACCGGCCCGCAGGGGGCCATTTTGTGTCCAAACCACAACACTCTGAATTACACTCGGTAATGATGCTAAAAGCCCTTCTGAAATAAATTGACAGAAGCCAGACTCGATGAAGGAGAGGTAATTTGATTTTGCAGGAATATTTTATCCCCTGTGCCGTAACTGTGAACGTGACACTATGTAGCTCTGTGAGGGAGTGGAGGGCGTGGATCTGGTCATGAATAAGGACCGTTTCGTGTATCAGTGTGAACCTTCCAGAAACAGAATGCCGTGTCCAGAAAGAGTCTCGAGGAAGAATCCATACAGACTCGCCTCTTAGAAAAGACAGAAAATGCATTCACCAGCCTTAAAGGTGGATTAAGTTGTCAAGTTTCTGTACCAAACGCTCTGCCCACATCTCCTGAGTCCTCATTAGGGGGTAGCTGCCCATCGGCTTCTGTCACGACCACCCTAACTCTCGACCAAGCAGTTCTCATGGACATCGCAAAAAGGTGACCCTGAACCCGAGCACAGGACCTCAGTCCCATGAGTCCTGATTTCTGCATGAGTAGACATCAGGTGTAGAAAGAAGCGAAGAGGGGAGGGTGACTTCCAAACCAATCCTAGGGAGTCCAGGGTGAGGAAAGAAAGCCCTAACAACTTGGGGCTCTGTAGTGTTGTGGACGGTGCAGGGTCCCGAGAACCCCACTTCTGACTGAAGTGACAAAAGCTCTATTTTCCTCTCACCGGAAACCCGAGTTGGAGGTCAAATAGTGTGCTTTTGTGCCTTGTGTAACATAGTACCTTGTGTAAAAGTGAAGAGGCTATGAACGGCCCTCTCTGGCGTTTATCCCGGCAGCTGCTAATATCCTGAGCCAAGAGAGTAAGGGGGTCTACGTATTGATGAGCGGGCTGGACCTGGAACGCCTGGTGCTGGCAGGTGGACCCCTTGGGTAAGTGTGAGGGGACTGGTGGGTACGCTTCACCAGTGTGAGGTTTATTGGGGAAGCTAGTGCGCCCCTGGATGAGTGTGAAACCCGGGGCAACCTGAGCTTGCCAGTCTTGTTAGGTTAGCAGCCTCCCCCTGATAAGGAAGGGAGGAACAAAGGAAGCTACTTTGTGGTTTATCTTCTGTCCTCTTGAATCTCCTCCTGTATTTAATTTCTTCACACGGGGAAATGTCACTATGTGACAGATGGCAGGTGAGGCCCGAGAGCAACTCTGCTTAGTCAGTGTGGTTGTGAAACAAGAAATGCAGACTCTGACACCTGCCTGCTGCTCCACCACACCCAACAGATCTGTGGGCCTGCCTGGGAGCTGGGCAGGCAATGCTGTCACTGAGACAGCAGGGAGTCTCTCTCGGGGACTTCAGTTCCTCCTCCTCCTCCCACCTCAACCCTCAGGCCTAATCCTCTGACACCCTTTCACCCCGCTTGACATCACACCCCATCACACCCCCGTGCTGTCTTCCTCCGGCAGGATCATGCAGGCTGTCCTGGACCACACCATTCCCTATTTGCACGTAAGGGAAGCCTTTGGCCAGAAAATCGGCCAATTCCAGGTAAGGGAAATACTTTCTGAAGTGTCCTCTTTTGCTGGATTAAAGGAGAGGAGGAGATAGTGGTGCGGTTTGGGTTATTGTCTTCTTCTAGCAATGAGCTTGAGTTCTTAGAATGCAGCCCCTTTCCCAGTCAGCCTGGCTTTGGGGGGTCCGTCACTTTGTCCTGCCCATTCCTATTGGAGACGGACGAACTCGACTCTGCAAGGCTGGAGGGTAAAGCTGCTGGAGTTTAGGGGAAAGGGAGCCGCATCTCTCATCCTGCCCGTCCGCCGGGAGGAGCTGCTGAAAGTTAGCAACACGGGAGGCAACTCTCGGTGCTCCTGGCGCCTCATCCCTGGCCCTCAGCTTGTCCTTGCCTTTGACCTGCTTTTAGTCCTTAGAATGTCCCAGCGTGTTGACCCAGGGCCTCCCTTTGTGCCCAGCTGATGCAGGGAAAGATGGCTGACATGTACACCCGCCTCATGGCATGTCGACAGTATGTCTACAACGTCGCCAAGGCCTGTGATGAAGGCCACATTGTTGCCAAGGTGAGGGCCAGCTCGGGGGAAGAAGAGGCGGATTGGTGGGTCATCTCAGGGGACGGGGCCTGTGGGTTTGTCAGGACCCTGCTGAGCAGAGCCTCATCCCACAGGACTGTGCCGGTGTGATTCTGTATGCAGCCGAGTGTGCCACGCAGGTAGCCCTGGACGGCATTCAGTGTTTAGGTGAGTGGCCCTCCCTCTCCACTCCTCACTCGGCTTACGCTAGCCACATTCATGCTGGCTCCCTAGGCTCTGTCTGCCTCCAGCGATGAGGAAAGGGAAGTTTTTGTAATGGCCATCAGTAAGTAAAGAGAGTGGGGCCCGGAGACACAGTTCAGTGGTTAGGAACACTGGCTTCTCTTCCAGAGGACCCAGGTTCTATTCCCAGCACCCACCTGACAGCTCACAACCATCTGTAACTGCAGTTCTAGGGGAAACCAACATCCTTGTGTGGCCTCCTAGAGGCCGGGCATGGATGTGGTGAGCAGACATTCTGGCAAAACATCCATATACATAAAATCAATTTTTTAAGAGAGGAAAAAAAAAAAAACCCATAGGGTGGTGGTGGCATACGCCTTTACTGCCTACACTCAGGAGTCAGAAGCCTGTGGATCTTGAGTTCAAGGCCAACATGGTTTATGTGGTGAATTCCAGGACAGTCAAGGCTACACAGAGAAACACTGTCTCAAAGAAAAACCCCAAAAATAAAAAGGGAAGAGGAAAATAAATGGCAGGGCGGAGGTTGGAGGCTCCAAGTGTTCCTTATCTTCCCTGCCTGGCCTAAGGTCAGCAGGAAATGGAGAGAGAGAGTCTCGGGGGGAGCAGCCTCGTTCATCAGTGGCTTAGGTTTGAATTCCATCTCTGCCATTCATTCTGCAGTTTTTTTTAAATGAGGTCCCAGGTGTGTGAGAATGTCGTATAGCTGAGGATGACCTGGAACTTCCAATCCTCCTGCCTCCACCTCCTGACAACTGGGATTATAGGCATATGCCACCACACCTGGTTTGTGTATGGTGCTAGGGACTGAATCCGGAACTCTGGGCACTCTAGGTGAACACTCTGCAGTCCCAGGCCCAGGTTTTGTCCTGTCCATCTCTAGGTCCTCAGCATTCTGACCTTCTAGACCAGCTCTCCCATGCCTTCCTGGTCCCAACAAGCGTCCCTCATTGCCTCAGCCGTCCTCCAGAGCCTGTATATCCTGGGGTTCTTCTGCATTCAACCAACGATCAAACATATTCAGAAAAGGCTGGGCATAGGAGTGCACACCTATAATCCCAGCACTTGGGAAACTGAAGCAGGAAGATTGCAACGAGACTGAGACCAACCTGGGCTACTTAGTAACTTCTTGGCCAACCTGGGCTCTAGCTCAGTGTAGCACTCAGTAGCACACACCTGAGATCCCGGAACTCAGGAAGTTAGAGGTTAGAGGATCAGAAGTTCAAGGTCAGCCTTGGCTATTTTATGAGTTGAAGGCCAGCCTAGGATAGGCACACCCTTTCGCAGAAGGAAGGAAGTTTGGTCCCCAGGACACACTTGGTTAAAGGAGAAAATTCACACACACACACAAACACACACACACACTTGTCCTCTGACCTCTACATGTGTGCCAAGACACATGTGCATGCACACACATACACACAAAATAAATAAGTGTAAGACAAAAGGAAAATTGTCCTGAGATGAACACAGACTTCTCTTGTCATGTCTAAACATTCCACTATAACAACTATCTAAAAGGCACTTGTATCACATTAGATATATAAACAACCTAGACATATGTAAAATATGAGCTGGGGTCATAACTCAGTGGTAGAGCATTGGCCTACACGGGGAGTGGAGGGTATTGAAGGAATGCACGCAGGTCATATGCAAAGAAACCAATCCCTGAAGGTACTAGGGAATGACTCCCTGGCTCTCCTTTTCTCGCTGCCTTCAATTCCGCCCTTTCTCTTCCGCCCGTTGTTTCCCTTCACAGGTGGAAATGGGTACATTAATGACTTCCCCATGGGCCGCTTCCTTCGAGATGCCAAACTGTATGAGATCGGAGCCGGGACCAGCGAAGTGAGGCGGCTGGTCATTGGCAGAGCATTCAATGCCGACTTCCGCTAGCACCGCGGCCGACGCCCCCGGTCCTAGCACTGAGGCCTTCCTTTAGAAGCAGAGGCATGCCCTCACACGGTAGCACACCACCCGCACGAGGTGGGGTTCTCCGGCCGTTGTCAGCCCAGTCTGTCAGGAAAGCTTAAAATGGACCGCACAAAGGACTTGGGTTTTTCTGGGGCTCGTAGGGGGCTTCAGTGACTGTGCCCTTACTCTCCACTCCCGATGTTGATGTTCTCACCCTCTGGGATGGCACCTGGGATATGCAGGTGCCCTACTCCTGAGCTGGGGCAAACCTGGCAGGGAGCCCTTTCCACGCAACTGTAGCGGGAGTGCTGCTGCTTCCAATTTTCTTAACGGCCTCTTTTCTTGAGGAAGAGGCAAAAACCTTGTTGTCCTCGTTAGCTGTTTCCCTAAGGTCTAAACAGTTCCAGAACATCTATGTGACAGACCCGTGGAAGACAGAGTCCTGGTCTAGCCATGACAGCATGAAAGATTGTCTCTGGATGGCGTCCCTGGTGTGCCTGGATCTGACTGCATCACTCTGTCACGGGCCAGCGCTGGGACTGTTTGTGTGACCTTCTGCAGCCGACCGGGCAGCAGGCACAGGCCCTGTGGCCAGCCCGGGTTGCCTGGCTCAACTCCAGTCTCTCTGCCTGTGTACATTTCTCTAGACACCCTGTGGCTAATTTTGTTATGGCTGCACAGTGGCTGCTGCCATTTTGTATTAAACATACTGCAAATCGAACCCTTCTGTGCCCAAAGCAGTGTCTGGAGGAGAAGCAAGCCACTTGTCTGTATCCCGAGTATTTTGAAGAGTCTGGAATGGGAAGTCGCAGACTCAAATTTCCCAGTGACTTTTTCTTTTGTGGTGCTGAGGTTGAACCTGGAGTGTGTCAGGCAAGCCCTGTAGCACTGAGTCTACTATCTCCTCCCTCCCCTTCCAACTTCTCCATGGTTTTATTTGGGGCTCCAGACTGGCCTTGAACTAAGATCTTGAACTATAGATCTGCCCATAACCTCAAGAGCTGGGATTACAAGCATGAGGCATATGCACCTCCCTGTGATTTCTCTTAAAGAAAGTGGGGCTTTCCAGCATCAAAAGGCAGGAGAACTGTATTAAGTTTCTGGAGACCATCCTTGAGAGTTGTTTGGTTTCGAGACAGGAACTAGCCTGCCCCTGCCCCCTTAGTGCCAAGATTACAGGCATGAACACACCCGGCGCATCTCTGAGTTTTGTTTTGTCTCAATATATATCTGTGGCAGGTCTTAAACTCAGATCCTTCTGCCTCTGCCTCCCAAATTCTGGGATTAAAGGAATGTGCCACCACCATGCCCAGCCCAATCTCTGAGGGTGGTTTTGTTTTTATTTTGTTACTTACTATCCAGACAGCTTGATGTTTTCAAGGTCAGAATTGAAACAGATGGGCTAGTAGTGAAAAAAATGGAACATCCTGAACATCCCAACGTGGGGCTGATGCATATAGCCTCCTAGGTGGAGCACCTGAACATCCCAACCCGGGGCTGATGCATATAGCATCCTAGGTGGAGCACCTGAACATCCCAACCCGGGGCTGGTGCATATAGCATCCTAGGTGGAGCACCTGAGTTGTCAACTCCTCAGTTCCCAAAGGTCTAAGTGGTTTTCCTGGATCCTAGCCCAACGATACTTGGTCTGAGCCTACAGCCAAGAGCTGAGGCTTGAGACAGGTGAAGCTGGCACCTGCCCAACCCCAACCCAGTCTCATCTTAAGGAGCTCGCGGCTGCCCCTTCACTTAGCTGTTCTGGGTCCTAGTGGTCAGCCAAGGCAGGACACTGGAATGACCCACAGACGATGGATGGTCAAAATGCGGCAGGGGACCTGCAGGCCTGCATGAAGTCTTGCCTAGCAGCCTGACCATCTGCATTGGAGTCCTGAAACCCACGTGGTGGGTGGAGAGAACTGGTTCTCAAGTCGTCCTCTGACCTCCACAAGTTAACAGAAAGAAGCATATCGCCCAGTCATGCCCCCTGGGACCCTACCAACTTGAGCGTGTCCCCAAGTACACGTGTTAAGAAGTCCTAACCCCAGCCGTCTGCTAATGGCTTGGGTAGTTGGACCCTCGTGACTTTGGTGGCTTTATAAGATAAGGCTGTTAAACAAGTGTGCCTGCTGTCATGTGAGGTCCCCTACCATGCTATGGCGCAACAGAAGATCCTGGCGGTGGGAGGGCCAGTGCGTCTGGAACCTTGAAATCTCTACAATTACCTAACCTGTGTTCATCCAGCTGTAACAACAAAGGAAGGATGTGATTGTTTTCCTGTTGTTGTTGTTGTTGTTTAATGTGATATACTCAAGAAATATTTTAAAAATAAAGGACAAGGACTGGAGAGATGGCTCAGCGGTTAAGAACTCTGTTCTTCCAGAGGACCTGGGTTCAATTCCCAGCAACCACATGGCAGCTTACAACTGTCTGAAAATCCAGTTCCAGGGGATTTGACACCTTCATACCGATTCACATAAAATAAAGTTAATAAAGATAAATAAATAAAATAAAAGACAAAACAAACTGTATCCTGAAAAGTGGATTGGGCAGCTGGCAGGGGCTAATGAGATGTGTTAATTGTGGCCTGGTCATGGTCTTTATCAAAATCTAGTGATACATAAATGTAGACACCGGGGTCCCCTGGGAAGTGACACTGGGCTAAGGCAGCCACAGAATATTACAACAACCCAGCGTGGGCCTGGAGGGAGTTTGTCCCCAGAGACTTGAGTCTTAACCCTGTAGCGAAGTGGTAGTCCCTTACCTCTGTAATATTGCTTCACTTCGCACACCAATTCCCTGACCTTTGCAACCAACTGGGTGCTCCAGGCAAGATTGCTTAAGGCCCCCGTGCAAAGCCCTGAAACGGGAGTTACTTAAACCTCAGGGACCAAGGGTGAGTCAGCCACGCCCCGACGCTGGGGAAAGGTTGGGTGGAGCCTGAGACCGTGTAAAGCAGCAGTTTGCGGGATTAGGGGAAGTGCCTAGCACTTCGCGGGCCTTGATGGGAGCTGGGACCCTCGGACCTGGGTGGTCGTTGGTCGCGATCCGCAGCCTACACAGATCCGGAGTGCTCTCTTTCCGCCTCCGGCCTCAAAACTCTGCGAGCCGCTTAGCATAGCGTTGGACACCGCGGGGACCTGCTCGGGCTCTGCGTGGAGCTCTCCTGACCCCTGCCGGCCATCCGCGGGGTCGCAGGTGCGCGGATCGGGCCATTCCACTTTCCCAGGGTGCTTTGGATGAATGCACCGTTTCCAAGACAGAAATTTCATCATGAACTGTATTTTGCTAATTTAGAACATTAAAAGAACATCGTCCTCTATCATCACCTCCTCATACAAGAATGACCGAGCAAAGGCGAGCGCCGTATTTTTTTTATTATGCACTGTTTCAAAAACTGTAATTTTATTTCAAAACTTATTTTATGTGTATGCGTGTTTTGCCTACGTGTATGTATGTGCTCTGCTTGCGTGTCTGGTACCCGCAGAGAGCAGAGGAGGGCGCTGGATTCCCTGGAACTGTACTTAGGGACTTGGGAGCTGCCATGTGGGCGCATGGAAACTCCATCAAGATCCTCTTTGAAAGAGCGAGTGCTCCAAACCACGGAGCCATCTCTCCAGTCTCCGAAACGGTGTAAGTTTTGAAAAGTTTATGGAAAAGAAAAGCTTGACTCTCGTTTCTCCTGTACTTTCCCGCTTCTCCAGGACAAAACCACCTTTGAGTTTCCTGAGGAGTTTCTTTTTGATTGAATTCATTTGATTGAATTGTAGGCTCTCCTAAGGATGGCGCTTTAAAGTGCACATAGCTGTGATTTATGACGATCTTGCTACGTGCGAGTATTTTTCACGTCACAAGCAGGCATTTAGAAAAGCCCTGGCTAAGATGAAGCAGGGGCCTCGTTCACGTACCAACCTCTGCCTCCAGCCCCAAGCACAGGCACGCAGAGCCACGGTTACTCAGGGTGGAGGCTCTACCAGTGTGCTCCGCCTACTTCCTCTAACCAGGAGCCATTCTGGAATTTTGACTTTTGACTTCTCCACGATCCACCAACCTGCCTCCCCTATCCAGGCCAGGCTGCTCAGCGTACCTCCACCCTGAGCCAGTGGGGACAAGCCTCCCCTAGAGCCGGCAAGTGTCCTAGCACATTTGAGATCAAAGGTTACACTAGGTATAGCCTGTGTTCCCAGCACTCACAAGTTGGAAGTAAGATGGCTGTGAGTTTGTGGCCAGCCTGGACTGGTTACATATCCAGTGCAAGACAAGCTGGGTTATATAAAAGTAAAACTGTCTGGAAAATGCCCCAAAATCAAGACCTAACATTTCAACAGAGCATCTTTGTCCCCGATAATTTGGAGACTGAAGCAGGAGGATCGTTTAGATCCAAGAGTTTGAGGATAGCCTGAGCAATACACTAAACCCAGTGTTAAAATGGTGGAAGGACAGACATGGTGGTGCACACCTTTAATCCCAGCACTTGGGAAGCAAGGTGTGGGGGGGAGGATCTCTGTGAGTTCAGAAACCAGCTTAGTCTATAGAGAGAGTTCCAGGACATCCAAGGCTAGCTACTGAGACCTTGTCTTACAGAAAGAAAAGCCGAGCCGGGCAGTGGTGGCGCACGCCTTTAATCCCAGCACTCGGGAGGCAGAGGCAGGCGGATCTCTGTGAGTTCTAGGCCAGCCTGGTCTACAAGGGCTAGTGCCAGGACAGGCTCCAAAGCTACGAAGAAACCCTGTCTCGAAAAACTAAAAAAAAAAAAAAAAAAAAAAAAGAAAAGCCGAGTGGTGGCTCATGATTTTAATCCCAGCATTTGGGAAGTAGAGGCAGGGCCAGGTGGATCTCTGTTTGAGGCCAGCCTGGGGGGGAAAAAGGAAGGAAGGAAGGAAGGAAGGAAGGAAGGAAGGGAGGGAGGGAGGGAGGGAGGGAGGGAGGGAGGAAGGAAGGAAGGAAGAGAGGGAAGAGTGGGATGAGCTGACCTAAGGATTTGAAGGCAAACACTATTACGAACCATCTTGTATTGCCCTCCTTGCCTGATTTCCTAGCCTATGTCTTTGTCCCAGCTGGTTCCTCCATCCAGGAAGTCTAGCCCTTCCTTCACTGTGTTCTTGCTTCATCCCTAAAGCCTCAATTCAGGACTCCTTCAGAAGAACTCTCCAGCCTCTCCCCAGTCCTCTGTCTCCTCCTCACCCCCTCCATGACCTCCCTCTTGCCTTGGCCTGTGTGCATCCATGAGCTTGCAAGGACAAGGTGGGGGAGGGGGCTATCTTCTTCAGCCAGGGACAGTTCTAGAAGGTGACTTCAGCACACTTCATCTGCCCACTCTCAGATAGAGAGGCTAGCCTCCTTTCTACCACGTATTTCTTGGGTCTTGGTTGCTGTTAGATTAACCAGACAGAGCGCTCAGCGGGAGGAAGCCCCCATCCCGCCCGACGGGTTGCATTCGTTTGATATATCCATTTCTCTGCCATTGGGCTATAAGCTTGAAGCCTGTGATTGCGCCGTCTGTATAGCAGCATGCCGGCACAGCTTCTGGTGGGCGGTCGTGTGATGTCTAGTCTTTATTTTGCTGATAGCACAGTTGGGGGGGGGGGTATGGTCCCCTCTAGTAATACTGTTAGATCATAGAGTTCAGAAATCACCTCTCACCCAGCGTAATGGCAAGGGCCCACAGTCCCAGCACTCCGGAGGTGGAGGCAGGAGGAGCTGGCGTTTGGAGCCAGCCTGGGCTTTGTGTTTGTGGGGTAAGGCAAAAAAACGAACAAAGAAATGAAAACTACAGTAACAACAATAAACCCCTTCCACGTCCCTGAACGCTCAGCAGCACCCAGTCCTGCAGCAAGTGCTCAGTGGCCATGCTCACACTGGTTGAGTGAAACAACAGGTGGGCCAGAGCCCTGGCCTAATCCAGAGTTGGCACAAACAGCAGGGCCAGCCGCTTCGTCTGACCCTGCTCTCTCCCCGGGCCTTCCCACCACCCTGGAGGAGCCAGGGCCCAGCTGCAGAAGGGAGGCCCTCACCCCCCACATGCCTCTGACCCACTCAGAAATAAAGAAAGGAGCTGTTATAAGGGACCTTGTGGCCCCTCCTCTGCCGGCTGGGGAGAGAACAGGGTCTGGATGGAAACGGGAGGCAGAGGGAGACCACACACTGCTCTCTCTTCCCACAGTAAAATGTGTAGGAAGCCAGTCCATGCAGGGTCAAAACTAAGAGGGAGAAGTAGGTTCCATGGTCTACACCTGCAGACCCATCATTTGCAAGGCTGCAGAGGGACTGCCACTTCCCGGCTAGCCTGGGCTACGTAGCAAGACCATGTTTTTTTGTTTTTTCTTTAAGTAAGTTCAAATGACTTTGAAGCCCTCCACCATTTTATTTTATTTTATTTTATTTATTTTATTTTATTGTGCTGAGGTGGAATTCAGGACCTAATTCATATTAGGCAAGGATTCTGCCACCAAGTTATTCGACCAGCACCCAGTTGTTATCTTTTTGTTTCTTTTTGTTACTTTCGAGACAGACTCACTATTTGCTGGGGTTAACCTTGAACTCTAGGCTCAGTCTGTACCCGTGCTTCACCCTCTCACAGGTGTGCTAGTATCCTGTTTTATTTGAGGTGACTTCTTATCTGTCTGTGTATCACTACACGATATTCTTTTGGATGTTTGGATGTTTGTTTGTTTTTGTTTGGGGGGATGTAGCTGTGGTTATTTGGGATATTTTTTGAGACAGGATTTCTCTGTGTAGCCCTACCAGTCCTGGAACTAGCCCTGTAGACCAGGCTGGCCTCTAATTTACAGAGATCCACCTGCCTCTGCCTCCTCAGTGCTGGGATTAAAGATGTGCACCTCTGCTGCCTGACTGGATGCTAGTTTTTTTGTGTTTTTTTTGTTTGTTTGTCTTAACTTTCTATAGTTGGACTCACACCATGTATATTTGTGCGTGAGTGAGTGGTGTATGTGTGTGTATACGCGCATGTGTGCGTGTGAGTGCGTACGTGTGTGTGTGTGTGTGTGTGTGCGCACACGCGCGTGTGTGTCTTGATATCTGGTTCATCATTGTGTAGTTTTACTGTTTTTCTTCCAGGCTAATGAGCAGAGCTATAATCTGTTCAACTTTTTCCCTTTTCCTTGTCTAGTGCTCTCTCGTGTGGAAGTACTACAAGCGAATGTGCCGTCTTCCTTATCTGCATTTCTAGTTTGAGATTGCTGTGGGATGTTCCTACAGGCTCCAAGTGTGCCTCAGGTTCTCCAGGTATATCCTCAGGGATGGGATTTCTCTATTGTAGGATATACACATGACCAGCCTGAAAAGGAAATTCAAAGTCGTTTTCCACAGTGGCAGTAAGGAGTCGGATGAGAAGACTCAACTCCTGCCCTTCCTGGCAACCTAAATTCAATCCCTGGGACCCACACGGGAGAGGACCCCAGCACCTACAACTTGTCCAACGACCTCCACATGCACACAAAGCATGCACACCCACAAACATGCAGTACAATTACAGAATAATGATGTGATTA